ACGTGCTGCAGGGGGTGTCGTGGTGCGGGATTGTGAGGGCAAGTTGGTATTTGCAGGGTACAAGGAATTTGGAGATGTGGAAGTGTTAGTTGCTGAGGCATTGGCTTTGTTAGCTGGTTTGAGGATGTGTGCAGAATGTGGTTTTGCTAGATTTCTGGTCGAGGTGGATTCCAGGTTGCTGGTTCATTTAGTTTCGTCTAGGTTTGCAGGTAAATGGCCTTTGTGCAATGCACTTCGTCAATTTTGCTATTGGCTTAAGAAATTGCAGGCGTCTCTAGGGCATGTGTATAGGGAGGCAAACTCGACAGCCGATAGGGTTGCGACTTTGGATTTGGGTCAGGACTATGTGTTTGATCATGTTAATCAACTCCCATCATTAGTTAGGGCAGCTCTAGTACTCGATGCACAGCTGTTCCATTTGTTCGTGCGCAAATTGTAAGGGAGTAAATACTCCTTATTTCCTTTTCGTCTACTTTGTATTGGTCTATTTTCCAATAATATAATAGGGGCTAGCATCCCTTCTATTTTTTTTTTTGTCAAAATGATAACATTTGTATTGATTTAAACTTGATAATACAAGAGCACTTTACAAAAGGAGCTCATTGCTCTCATAATCTATTCTTGCTAGATCTTTAATCCAGCCAGGGAAACATGATTCCCAATATACATCATTAACTAGCTTCAAGGCAAACTTTGCTAGCCTATGACACACTTCATTCCCTTCCCTATGTATAAAAGAGAAGTTGCATTGCTCAAAAAACTCCCTCAGTTTTTGTATGTCCTCCAGTATCACAACACAGTTGCTATTGTTGCATGAGACTGTTAAGATACAGTCTATCACATTCTTGCAGTCTAATTGTACTTCGATTCTTCCCCAGCCTGCTGCCTTTCCAAATTGCATTGCATCTCTAATTGCTGCAGCCTCCTCAATTTCTGGTTCCCCCAACTTCTCCTCCATTATGGCCCAAGCTTTCAGTACCTCTCCTTTCCAGTTTCTAGCCACTATTCCTTTACCAGTTCTGATCGACTGTGTTGAGATTGCAGCATCAGTGTTTATCTTGTACACACCTTCCATGGTTTTGGGGTTTTAGCCAAAAAAGAAAAAAAAAAAGAAGAAAATCTTGTGGTAATAGATTCACCAAAATTCTTGTATAGCTATTATTCTAATGAAATATCGAGTTTATTAACAAATCTCATGGAAACTAATCACTACAAATATTTTATTTTTTCTTCTTACTTTTATCTTTCTATTCCATGCAGAATTTGCAGGTTCCTCCATTGATGGATGCATTATTGGAGGGGTTAGATTTGTTTTTCTTTTCTATCTTTTTCACATACTTGATGTTTTTTCATACACTCTCTTTCGCTTATCAGGTTTATAGAAAGTGTGAACCCTATTTGAATACTTGTTCAAGGATGGATTTTGTAGCTAACATGAAGAAAGAAAATTCTGTATGGCTAAATATGCTTAACAAAGTAGAAAAAAATATGAAATAAATATAACAATAACGGCAGACACTAATTTCTTCTTTATATTTCAAACCTATGATGTAATTGGCTACAAATCTGAATTAAGTTACTGCCTGCCTTTATTCTAATTGTCAACCATTTTCAAATACCCAAATCCGCAATTGGTGAAAAATCAAGTTGGAAAATTGATAAAGCAGAATTCTATTGTTAAAAGATTAAATAACCAAAAAAAAAAAAAACAGCTTAATAAGCTACAACCGGTTGCCAACTTCCACTAATGTGTTGAGAAGGGTTTAGTTTAGTGGATAAATTTGAGATTCTAGAATCTAGACATTACTCATATTACTCGTTATATATATTTCATTTTATAAAAAATAAAATAGAGAAAATTTTTTCTCAAAAAATGAATACTGCAAAATTTTTTCTAAAAGCAATCTTACCAATTTAGATTTAGTTGAAAACAAAAAATAACTAGATAAATCAAGGAATATTGTAATATCATTTCCTATATTATATTGTCTTCATCTAAAAATAATATATATTTTTTTACATTCTTCATTCTCTATTCTTTCTCTAAAGAAATATAATTAACTGTCATTCAACATTTTTTTAAAAATGATCTCCTTTTTTGAATGCTAATGCATAATGCATAATTAGTATAAAAATTTGCACTGTTTCTTGGTTGCTATAAGAATCAATATCTAAGTGATATGGATTTACTTGAAACATCAATCTCATTGTAAAATACACAAATTACAAATTCAGATTATGTCATCTCATCAATACATTATACGCTGTCTATACAAATTCATGTATGTATGCACGTATGCATATATAAACACACATATACATGATAAAAATAGTAAGCAAATTTACATGAGTATTGATGTTAAAAATCATATTGATTTGGCATAATTACATTGATTGCCTGATCTAGCAATATCAAAATACGTAATTCTTATCCTTATCTTGGAGAATTTTAGAAGGAAATACAAAGCCAATTTGGTTAATTAGGGGGAAAAAAAAGCCAATTTGGTTATACCATTGAATTGGTAATGAAAAAAATACTATATAACCTTAGATTGGAGCAAACTTTAGGCTAATGCTATATTGAAACAAGATGAATATATATATATATATATATATATTATCTCTAGTTTATTCAAGTACAATGTAATTTTCTAAACTCACTACACGCACATTGCACATTGTAAGCAAGTATAGAAACTTAGTTATTTAATTACACATAGAAAATTGTCAACCATGTTTTTGCAACACCAATATATAAGATAGAAAACACAATTTCAAGTTCATAGGACAGCCAATTAGCCTTGCTTTCAATTTTTAAGATTCTCATTTCTAATTTGAGCACTTAAAAATTGAATTAAAAAAATTCTGTAACAATTCCCAAAAGAAAAAAGGTTTGGGAATCAATATTCTCATGAATTATGAATAATTTATCAACACACACATACTCAAACACTTCTATTTAAGAGACTATAAAATCTTGTGAAGGGGTAAGATTTAAAAAGCGAAAAGGGGACAAGAAATTTGGATCTAAAACCTCTCAATTATAGAGTTTTATTTTCAATTATTAGATCAACACAACTTGTACCAATTTAAATATACATAGTAATAAAAGTGAAAAAAAATCCACAAAAATTTGATTTTGACTAGGAGATAAAGAGAAAATTTCTAACACTCCAACAGTAAGGGAAACTTTTGTACTAATTTGTGAAAAGGCCATAATTTCTGCTTAATTTCCACATCGAAATTTTACCTTTGTTTTAATTTCTCTAATCACGAGCGTTCTTCCAAGTTCAACTTCGAGAGAAAGGAGGATAAACAAGAAGCAAAAGACAGCAACTCTTCCATCACTCTCCTCAGTCAATTATCCTCCCCATAGCCTGCAACCATCGTCTTCTTCAGTCCCTTCATTTATTTCCAAATAATCTCCGCAATCCATTAAAGAAGGGGTGGTTTGGAAGTTGCCAGAGGAAACCATAAGAGGAAGGAAGAAAGGGAAAATACAAAAGAAGTCCCAAAAATGGCTGCACAGAAACGAACTTCAATTCCTCAAGGTGGTCAGGAACATTCTACCCCTCGTTCCAGCCGACCACGGCGTAAACAATCGCGGAGGATTGGAGGTGATCAAGCGGCGAAGATGGCAGCTGATCAAGAACCGCAGCTGCGGCAGCAACAGCAGCAGCCAGTTCAAGAAGCTGAAGATCAGCCACCACGTGAGGCCCCTGATGATCAGCAACCAGTTCAGCCGAATCCAGATGAAGGTAGCTAAATGGGCGTCGAATTTGAAATCCATTTTGCTAGCATTGATTTTTGGATTGGTTTTCGATGCTAGTTATGCGCAGTAGTAAAGAGTGATTTTGACTAATTTAATTGTTGAATTTGTCAAAATTATTCAGATTCTGGTGGAAGTGGAACTGACCCGGAAGAATTTGACGAGTAAGGACTCTTCTTTTATTTGTTTATCAATTCATGTATGTGATTGTCAGTTTTGCATGTATGTATGTATCCATGCATGTGGAATTTATCTGGTGGCAGGAATTTATTTTGATACATATAATTACTTTGTTTTGATAGATGTTGAGGCGATTTTGAATATTACGTGCATTAATTCGAGGCTTACGCATGTGTTAGGCATTTTGAGTTGTTCCGTACGCGAAAATTTTTTATCGAATCACCACATGTTCATGAACGTCTGATGTAAAATTTGTTTGGGGGTAAGTTGATTCGGGCAGTGTTCGTGCATTCAAGGTGCTTGAGTCGATGCCGAAACAGTCTCTGAATGTTGCTTTTTGATGCGTATTGATTTCATTTGTCAGCGGTTTTCTATACTCTGAAGAAGAATATGATTTTGTGAATTATGTCGCATGTGCTTTTAAAGTTCATAAAGGTGTAAACTATGGTGTTTATCTTTCCATATTCAATCAATGTAAGGCTTATGCATCATTATGATGTTCTATTCTTTAAAATAGTAGATGTGTGAGTAGCTATTCTTATTATTTGGTAAAATCTGTTGTATAATTGCTGGCTTTGCAGTCTATCAGAATTCGCTAATTAGGTTGTTTGCACAAAATGTCTTTGTTTCTGTATAAGGTTAAAGTGCCCACACTATATCATCTCTATTACCTTAACGTTGCTACCATTTTTAATTGGATGAGCCATGCCGTGCAATCTTTGTTCTCCTTCATTTGTTCAAGCATGCATGGCGCACACTGCAGCTAAGCTTTATATGGAATTTTTTTTTTCAAATTCCTTGTCTCTCTAGTGCTATATTGATATTATAGCCCATATTTACTTTGGCTAGTTTGTTATGTGATATGCCTTCTTGCTCTAGATGAGCAGTTTCTGTATAATTGGTTACTAGAATTAGATTTTTCTACCTTATAATTGTCATTGGTGATAAAAGGGTTGGTCACGGATATGTTTTCTGTGTTTAGTTGCTTGAACAGTGGCATCAGTACTAACTTCACATTTTGTGGATTTTACAGAATTATCGCCATAGTACGGGGTGCACTTCGTACCAATGTGCAGTGTCCCATATGCCTAGGTACTTTTGTTGTTTTTCTTCCTCATCATTCTGTAAATTATTTACTACGTTCAATTTTTTGCTAGGATTACAATGAGAGACTTTTTTTTGCTCAAATGTTTATAAAAATGTAGAATGTGCAATCTGTCTAGGTATTTTGTTTTTCAAGTTATTAATTTTTTCCTATAATCTCATGTAATAATTTATTGTACTGGAGCTGCAGACATGTTGATATTAACATAATCTCTGAGTTTTACATTTTTTTGGTTCCTATTGAACTTCTAATTCTTAGCATTGGTATATGATTTTGTTGTGTATAGGGATTGCGTCCAATATCGTTATTTTAAGTTTTGATGTAGTGGCCATGATCTGCTGATGTGTCACCTTATGTGTTTCTGCGCAGATGTTTGCAAATTGTCATGTATCTGTTAGTATAGCTAACTGCACCATGTTATGAGTCAGTTCTCATGTACATTAAGATAGATGAAGCAATGTTGCACATTAATAGCACCTGGGTATGCTTATGGTGCCTTAGCAACATGAAGATTCCCAATGAGGTGACATTCATTGTTCAGTAGATTGTGTATAATTAGGTGTGAGTGATTTAATACATAAGAATTCAGGCCTGCTGAATCTTCAGCTGCTTCTCTTCTATGTTTTACAATTAGTTATGGTCCTAGAATTGATGCATGATTTTCAATTTTCTAGAAAATGCACCTACATTCATAGAATATATGCATTCTAGTCACTTAATTTTCTAGAAACTGGATTTCTTCTAAAAGTTAATTCTATATACTCAATGCATTTTCAACATTATTTGAAATTAGCTGTTCATTTTCTGAGGTGATCATATCTCCTTATATCATGTCATCACAAGCATGGCATACCATACCAACCTTCAAAAATAATTGCATAAAGCCATGCATGGGTCTTAGAGTATCTCTTAACACTAAACTTGCAACTATAATTGGATGGCTCAACATATGTATGTAAATTTGGTAACAGGATAGATAAAGTCTGAGTTCTTCGTGTAGTTTCCGTGCATAGGTTTTGTGACTATGACCAGACATGCCTTGTAGATTTGTTCACATCCTGATAACCTCTTTGACTGAAGATGAAAGTGTTATCATGATACTATTTACTTCATGGTCTGCAATGACTTTCTTTGCACTATAGAAAGATTTTCATAGTAATTACTGAATTCGAGTAATTTGAACACCTCTCTCTCTCTCTCTCTCTCTCTCTCTCTGTGACTCTGTGTCTTATGTCTGTGTGTGTGCTCGCATGCATCATTTCATGGATTCATGGATCCTTTTAATAAACCATCTGCAACTATGATTTGTTGGATTCATATAAAATTACAGTTCAAGATATAGTTATCCATGCAGAAAAACTCGCCTTCTGGTCTCTAGCTCATTGTCCATGGTGAATTGATTATTTTCTGTCACTAATTATTCTGCAACTTATGTATAACAGGCATTATTAAGAAAACTCGAACTGTTATGGGATGCCTGCACCGGTTTTGCCAAGAATGCATTGACAAATCAATGCGAATAGGGTATGTAATGAAAATAATTTGCTCTCATTTATTTTTTTGCAGCGCATCCGATGTATTTATTGGGTACTTTCAACTTGGATGAGTAATGTTGCTCTGAGATGGTGTAAGGAAACCTGTAATGAATATTTCTTTCTTGCAGGAACAATGAATGTCCTGCTTGCCGCATACATTGTTCCAGCAGACGTTCTTTGAGAGTTGATCTAGACTATGATGCCTTGATTGAAGCTATATATCCTGACCTTGCAGAGTACGAACTAGAGGTAGTTCTTTCTGTTTTGGATATTTGGTTTGCATTACAACTTTACTTTAAATTCAACAAGGTATATGATTGGCTGACCTGTTTTATGTGGATGTCCTTTCCAGGAAAATGTCTTTCATGAAGAGGAAAAAGCACTGAATAAGCAGGTCATTAAGCCAATGCCAGCGAGATTCATGTTTGCTTGCATCTGTCTTGACTTTTGTATTTTTCTGTTTGTCTTTTCCTTCTTCTTGTCGACCATTCTACGAGTTTTTATACATCTTAACCTATGCTTATGGCATGTTATTCATGCCTAAGTCAGAAGTGATAGCTAGGAAAGGTCTATTACCATTTGTTTTCTACCCTAACCCTCAAGTAATTAGAGTCCTTTTCCTAGAGACCTTGATGAGAAAAATCATATGCAACTTGCAAGTGTCGTTTCAGTATATAGATCCATTACCAAGCTTTTGCTTCATGTTAGTGGACGTAATATATTTTTACCTGACAATGGGCTGCTTTTATCTTCACCTGCTTCACTTACCTTTTACCTGCTTGCTAAAAGCTTGACCCAAGTTTAACTAGTATTATATGCTAATTCTGTTGCTTGGTGTGATAAATACATTATATTGGAAATCAAAAAGTTGGCCTCAGTGGCTCCAGGTACAGATTTATTGTTAGGTATACTTTGGGGACAAAGAACGGGGCAGAATATGATGGAGCTAGCGAATAAGGCTCTCCCTGTATCTTTCATAAAAAATTATTTTTGTTATATATGTGATTTGTTTCCAGTTTGTCCAAGTAATCTGCCTCATTTAGTTTCAGTTTAATTATGAGCTCCTTCTTCACTGCTGGATGTTATCTAATGTTCTTTTGACAAATTTAGTTTCCTGTTTGGTGTTAATAGTAATTATAATCATAATTTCGGTGTCTTTTCTTTGTCTATGGTTAATTCTATGATGTCTTGTGATTAAAAGTCCACTAAGTAGAATTTAAATTGATGTGGAGCAGTGTTCTTTGTTTCCATACACTGAATAGGGAAATCAAGTTCCTTTTCTATATATGATTCTTTTATCTTAGTCTTCATCACAGCAACTCATGCTCATCTCTTCTTCTTTTTCCTCTCTCTCTCTATACATATGTGTGTGTGTGTGTGTGTGTGTGTGTATGTCTATATGTATGCGTATATATATGTATATATGTCTGAATATCTCTATATGTATCAATGTATGTACATATATATACATACATATACATATAATATATATATGTGTCTATGTATATATGTGTATACATGTGTATATATCTATGTATATATGTATGTATATCTCTATATGTATCAATGTATGTACATAGATATACATACATACATATACATATATATAAATAAATATACACATATGTGTATATGTATATGTATATGTCTATGTACATATACATATACACATATGTGTATATATATTTATATATATGTATATGTATGTATGTATGTATGTATATATGTATGTATATAGTGGAATGTTTTCCTTAACCATTACAATTGGCACATGACACATGCAATCAGCAATTGTACCCGTTATGTATCAAACTCGTTCCCTGAAGTGGAATGGTTACTTTTGTTTCTGACCCAAAAAGTGTTTGGAGCTTAACAATAAAAATCCATTTTGTATGCATTACATCTTCATTAAATTCAAAAAACTTGTTTTACAAAAGTTAGTCTTTCAAACAAAAGTTATATATCATTAATGTACTCCACTGAAAGGTTTCTTTCTTCTACAGGATCTCATACTGTGTAATTTAAAAGGAGTCCTTCTGTGGCTGGATCAAACACTTGCCTGCATTAAGAATTTTGTTAAACCTAAATGTCAAAATGTTAAACTATTTTGGTGGTACAGCAGTGCTACCACTTCAATGCAGACTTGGGGGAATATTTAGTGTTGGGAGATTTAGGGGGACTATAAACCCAATATTCGATGCTTTTCTGCAATGGCTTTACCAGAAAAAGCTGAGATATATCAATTAACAGAATTAATTTTATTCGATGTTTTCCCTAGTCTTTTGTTCTTTCTCATGCTCCTTTTCAGAATAGCATCTCATAGATTGTTGTGGCAACAGTTTTCACTCCGATAGCTATCATAACTATGCAAAGGTTTCTAATGAAGTAATTTCATAAACTTGTGAGATGCATAGTGAATTCATGGGCATACATACTAGACTTTTAGTTTTAGGAACATAAATTTGTGAACAGTAGTATTTCATTGCTAGTTTAAGTTGGTGGAGCATATAGTTACACACCTCAACATTTAAAGCCTCAAAATTATGTGTAATAGCTGATGAAAAGAACCAGTTGTCAAAAGCACGAAAAGAAAGGAAAAAGATGAATGGATAAAAGTCCTACATTGTACATTTGCAGCCAAGGTGAATCCATGAAAGAAAGACAGAAAAATTTTCTCTTCCTTCAGTTAATGCACTTATATATACATAAAAATATGTACAATGTGTAAGTGAGAATGATTTAGCTGCCACTGTGATTGGGCAGGTTCAAGCATCAATTGCTGAAATTTCTAGACGACAGTCAGAAGCATTAAATAAGAGGCGTAGAACATATAGAGATGGAGATGACTTAAGAGTACCCCGCAGTCGCAATGCAACTTCAAGAAGAAGAAGCAATCAGAGAACTGATATAGAGTCTGATAATGTTAGTGAGAGGGAAAATGATCTACAAGGAAACTTAGATCCATCAACGTCTGACAGATCTCACATAGAAATCAAGAACTGCAGGCCCAAGAGACGGGCTAGTACTCAGCCTCCACCACCTTCCCCATCAGCTGCTAATCCTGATAGTGAATATCTCAAAAATCCAGTGGAGCCAGTGAGAGAAAATTTAGTTAATCCTCTTGGGGTTGCGCACAATCCAGAAATGCTGACTTGGGGCAGAGGTGGTGCTCGTAGCCACACTCGACATGGAGGTGGGAATGCTGGCAGAGGCACCAGGGGCAGCCGAATGTCCAAGTTGATGGAACAGCTGGAAAGCTCCTCTAAGATTGATTATATGGTATTTCAAGCTACTGGTCTATTGTCCTACCTATCATTTATTTATCCATTGGAAACAACATGAGATCTATATGTAACAGTCCAAATACAGTTCCTGTATATGGTTTTTCTAATTTACATATTTTGTGATACTGTAGATCATGGCATCAAATTTCACTTGTCTGTCCTAAATCTATTCTTTGCAGACAGAAACCCCATTTGCATTAGTTTCTCTGGACAAGGAAAGGATACCAAATTTAGAAAAGCCCTGGCTTTGTTTGCCGTCAAGCTTTTCCGTCAATCAACTCCGCAAGGTTAGAGTTTTCTTACATGATTGTCTCACAGTGACATGAATATATAGTCACCAAAATGTTAACCACTGGACTTTTATCTATTAGACAAGGGTCTAATCAATTCCGAAGATATAACCAGGTCTCGTGGCTTCATTTGTTAAAATCTGTCTTTCCACTGTTCAACAATGGTAGACATTCATTTAAAACTATTTGGTTACATAACTTTTTTTTGTTGGATCTTGACACAAAATCTTGTGTTCGGAATATGTATTTCTTGTATTATACAGTGTCAATAGCTAATTCAAGATGGTGCCCATTCCCTGAGCCAGATTCTTTATACAGTTCTCTTTTCTTTCTGTTATTAGATATTCTCTAGTTGTTTTCTAACTTCATTCCTTTGTGAAATATTTTGTTACCATAGCTCGTTGCTGATGAAGCAAAACTTGAAGCTGAAGATGTTAAAATGCTGTTAGTTAAGGAGGCAGGTGTTGATAAAACCAGTGCTGATTATTCACAAATGATTGATAGACAGGATCCCCTTTCACGAATGGTTAATTGGTCCAACATTTGCTTGGAAATTCAAGAGGGCCAAGAAACTCTATCTGGGCTCCGTTGCTCCACAAACACCATATATTTGGTAAGTGACAATTCAAAATCTCTGTGATATTGTGCTTGCTGAGCCTTCTGTTAGGTGACATGTACTATAATCCATTTTAAAAGGCACATGATCATTCTCTTTATATTCCATTTTTACTCCTTAATGAAGTGCTTTTTCTGTTCCAGATACTAGCTTACCAATACAAAAAGGATAATCAGCAAATTCAACCCTCTCCTCTTTGAGAAAACGGTAACAATGAAGTGTTAAGTGTGAGACTACTGCAGCAAAGGCTTGTTGCAACAAAACTAAAGGCAAGAGATCGACCAACAGGCCAGAGGGTTTAAAAATGCATGTTTATTGCAAAAGACTTGTGCAACTATTGGTGACATATCATCTTAGGTTTCTTGCAGAAATTTTGAAGTTTTGATGGTAGAATTTTCCTTTTAATGAAGCTGAACAATGACCACAGAAAACATTTGTATACTTACATCCACCTATGTATGTAGTGTAAATCCTGTATCTTTTCATCGTGGTGTGACTTGATTCTTGACCCAGCTCATGGCCTTTGATCTGTTAGCTAGAGACCTCATTTGTGCTGGTTTCTGCTTATAAGAAGGGGCTTACACACATTCTCTCTCTCTCTCTCACACGCAAGTGAGTTGTACTGCTTATCATTTTGAAATTTGCTGTAGATAAAAACATGCAAATTCAGCCAGCCTGGAACAGAGATTTGTCTAGTTAGTTTAGCAGGTAAGTGGGGGTTCTATTGTGTCCACGGTTCGTTCTACTGCATTTAGTACAACATTCAAACAATATAAATCAGGAAAGATATTATTATGAAAGATTCATTTCGTTCTCCAAAAGTCAAAAAGCTCTCCAGTAAAAATTTTCTCTCAAACTGCCCAGATGGGACTTTGTTCCTCCAAAGTATTGAGGGTTACACGTCAGAATTTTAGGTCATTCCAACTCAGCAACCCAAAAAAAAAAAAAAAACAGAGAGAGAGAGAGAGAGAGAAGAGCATTTGAGGTCAC